CTGGATTACAGGGTATTTCAGCTCATCACTCATCACACTGGGTGTAGGTGCTGCCTTCATCTGGGACCTCTGTGGGAATGACATGGACAAACTGGAGCAAGCTCAGTAGGGGCCTCTGAAGAATTGGGAAAAAAACCATTCTTCCTGTGCAGGGAGGTGGAGAAACAGGGCTGGTTTAGCCTGGGGAAGGAATCTACACCAGTGAGCACATGGTTGAGAAGAGGCTGCCAGAGTTTCCACCATGCTGCATGAGGGGAAGCCAAGGGAACTGAGGCTTGAGGTGAAATGAGAGATCCAGGCTGGGCGTAAGGAAAAGCTTTCTCATGCTGAGGACAATGGGATACCTTGGGCATTTGCCACACCTGAGTGGACACAGTCCTGAGCATCCTGGTCTGAGGGTACAGCTGGCCCTGCTGTGGGCAGGTGCTTGGAATAGAAATTCCTGCTCAGCCTGTAGCTCAGCCTTGTGATTCTACAATATATAAATAAATACATAATAAACAAGGATCATTCTTCAGATGTGACTGCATGTTCTAAAGGGTATTTGACTTTTAAGTCATCAATTTTTCTTTTTACTCATCAGACTAGAAAAAAAACCTCTAAATAATGGTCACTGTAATATCTTTTCTTTTTTTTTTTTTCATCCTGCAAAAGAAATTACCAAACTTTACCATTGGAGGGAGATAGTGATGAATCTTTTGCTCTCAGAGGAAGTGTGACAGTACAGGCAGAGTACATGCAGAGGGGAAAGGCAGAAGAAACAAACGGTTCCAGGCCAGGTGGTATACTTCATATATCTAAATTGATAGTAAGTTGCTGATTGCCACCACATTTGCTACTACTGTTAACCCTATGAATAGATTTTGCTCTGCAGACACATGACATAGCTGGTCCCTGCCCTGAAGAGCCTGTGACCTAAGGCTGTGGAAATAAACTTTCAAAAAGCACCCAGACTGATGTGGATCAGTGGGAATTAAACTAAAAATCTGCTGCTCAGGATGGAATTTTCAATGTTGCAATGCAGTTTTAGTCTTTTAGATGTCTTAACTCGACTGTCTGAAATGTAAGAATCCTACCCTTCTTTCACAATACATAGAGAGCTCTAAACCCTCATCACCTGGGTCAAAACAAAGCCATTGTGGTTACAAATAAATCAGAGGGAATATTATCTGAAATTCTACTTCTTCACAATCTTCAAACTGCAGGAAATTGGAAGAGGTTTTTTATCAGCTCTCTTCAATCTTTAGCTGCCTGTGCTATGCTAAATTCACCAGATTATGCCCATTTTGAGCTTTCTTCAGTAATATGAGGGCTAAGAGAAACAGGACCAGAGGAGACAAGAATGTGGAATTTAGTTCCTTTCCTTTGCCTTTAAAACCCAGATGCAGTATTTCCGGATAACCATTAAGCCACTATGAGTATTAGATGTTCAAAGACAATCTATAGCAAAAAGCAGCATTTTACAGAGCAGAGCCTTGAACAACTGTGAACCAAGTAAGAGGGGCTCCTCTCCCAGAGGTAAAAGCTCCAGCAGCATAGTCAAGCTGTCAAAAACTATGGCAGGTGAGATGCTTTCCTGGCGATGGGAATATCAGACCCAAGAGTCTGTAAAATTGTTCTTTCTCTTTCTCTGATCTAATGAACATGTGGTTATCCATTGTAGTTTATTACTCAATCAAGGAGGATCTCAGAGCAGTCTATTGCCTGGAATTTATGGTGTTCACCTCTAAATGCTTGGGACATGAAAAGGCCTTTCAAAAGAGGATGGAACTGAAATTGAACCTCTCACATTGCAGTTCAGAGCTTTTCTTGCAGTTCAGCGGGAAGAGGAGGATAGAGCTGAATATTATCTGAGGCAAAAAGGTGGAAGCACTTCTACTGTGGTGATACTTCATTAGTAGAAGTAAGAACACCTGCCAGATCAGATGAGCAAAGCAGACCAGTACTAGCCTGAGATATGTTGCATAAAGATTTAGAAATCTGACAGAATGGAAGTGCTTGCACTGGCTGAAAGCAGATGAGTAAATGCCAAGAAGGGTTGGAAATTAGACACTTCCAAAGCAATTAGGCTGGAGTTATTTGCTGTGACCTGTTGTGACCCATAGGTGAACCTGTTGTACCTGTGAACCTGGCTCAATGCTCACAGAGTCAGAAATTGAATAATAACACAAGATGATGTCAAGAGTGAGCTGAGATACAGTCACTAGCCAGATATGCATGCCTAGTTCATGCAAATATGAAGAAAAATCAGATGTTTTGTCTGACCCTTCAGACAGCAGCTTTTTGACACATTAAGTTGGGTCCTATCATGACCAATGATTGTCTCATCTGAGGAGATCGCTTACTGAATCAAGGTTTTAGACTTCAGCCTAACAAGTCCTAATACATATATTTAAATTAATTCATGCTCAACACAGTAGTTCTTGAATCGGTTCAAACACGTACATAAATATTTTCATCACAAAATCAAACCATAATACATTTTGGATTACATTTATCCATAGCAGACATTCTGTTCAGGACCGTAATTGTGTGATTCACTAATCCCAAATTAATTTGAGCATTTTTGCTGAAAAGGAAAATACTTAAAAGTGGGAAGGCTTTTCATTCCCAAATCTCCATCTGAACTTCAAGGATTCAGAAGATTCTGGGTGTTTGATTTTCAAACACAGACAATGGCATGTAGAAAGGCCACTGTTCTATTCATGTTAGAACACCAGATTTCCCAGCGTGGGAAGACACTACCAAATGCATGGTTAAATTGCTCAGCTAGGAGGAGCTCAGCTAATGCTGCTCCAAAAGTGACCACTTTAAACATGGTCTGCACAGACCTGAACAGTATCCCAACACAGCATGAATGTGCTGGAAGAGGGGATAGCAGTGGTCAGTCAAGGTATGAGAAAGAGATGAGGGGGAAGGGTGGCAAGAACCTCATACTGCTCTTGTACATTTCCAGTGGCGACATGTCCCTGAGGTGACATGTCCCTGGTAATTACATCCCTTAGGTTGATCTACAAAGTCAGCAACAGATTGTTACATTTATATGTGTGTTAAAGTTAAATTATGGATTGAATAATGGTATTTTGGGTTGAACACGCTTTCAAGGTGGGGCTTGACTGCCTGATGAGTCAAATGGCAAGTGGAGAGAGAATAAAACCTTTGGGCATGGGGACCAAGAGGACTTGGTCCATGTCAGGACACTTTGTCTGGACAATGCATGCAACATCGTGATTCCTTCCAGACTTCAGCCAACACAGACTTCCTCAGAAGGCTTCTGCAGGCAGCATAAAGGGGGAAAGACAAGTTACTGCTCCCTTATCTCTCCAGACACTTTGAGACACTGGCTGGTCTGGATCTGGGGAATGATAAAAGCAGTTCAGAGCTGCCTTTTCCCACCTATTATACTCAGGTGTCTGATATATGAACTTGGTGTACAGCAGATCTGATTCTTTACTGTGACATCCCTCACATATGGGAAAGCAATTATGAAAGGAGGGTTGGAAAGGGAGATACTGCAATATCTATAAATTTGCCTGTAAAAATGAGTGTGCTATGGTATATTGCACTTAGTTTTGATGTGATGAAAAAAACTAAGTACATGCTGTAAGCACAGAGACTTTACCTGGTGTACTTTTTTATATCTCCTATTACTCACAGTTTCATCTTCCCTATTCCCTGTCTCTTTTCCTATCTGTCCCTTCCAAAGTCAAGAGCCCCCTCTACACCGAAGCACAGGCTGGTTACACCATGCTCACTACATGGTGCTCCACAGCCTTTGGCAGCTGCTGCACCAACTGCACAGTGAGCTTGGATGAGGGGATTGCTATGGCCAAACACAGCTGGGTCTCCATTACCATATTCAAATCTAGAAACCACCACGTTGCAAGAATAACTTATTTGCCTCACTCTCATGAAACTTCTGGGTCTAGAGCACAAAACCATTGTAAATCTTTGCATCACTGGCAGTGGGGCAGTTCCACCTCTAAACACACTGTGATTTTACTGATACAGTAAAATCAGTGAAGAGGCAAAATGTCATTGCTTTATTCAGAGGTTGCTATTGGCTATTTAAGTATTCTCTTTTATGACTACACATAGAGGCTGTAAGGTCTACTTACATGAATCTGAAAGATGATAGCTTCTGAAATGACTGACACACATTTTAGGTTTGGAAATTAGAAAGTGATTTGTATTTGATGGGAATAAGCAGTTTATGTTCTGTATAAAAGAAATTATGTACCTAGAAGAAATTTAACTATGATTATACTAAGCTAAGACCTTACCATGGTTCTCCAAAGCACTATAATGCTCCTCTAGTCTATATGAGTATTCTTACAGATTTTGTAGTATTTTGAAATAAGTGAGGCATCATTTAATATTTACCTTCTTGAAAAGACTTTATTTCCTTGCATTTAATTTTGCAGTCTAAAAGATTAACATAAATACACTCAAAAGTAGGTTCCATGGCCATATAAATGGTTTTATTTTCCCAAAATTTGGGTACCTTACAGTTGCCCTTGGAATGACTAAGTCAACAGGAGATGCCTGGATTCCCAGTGCTTATGAAATTCAATCTATTTCTTTAGGTGCATAAGTAAGAATTCAGAGCTCAGATGCATGATCTAATTATGTGGTTTAGCAAGCTGACACTCACCTTATGATGTGTGATAAACAGTCCTTTCACTTAATGCAGTTCAAGACATTCTCAGAACTGAGAATTATTTCTGCCACAGACGTAAATGGCAGAGCTCCCACTGCCTGGAGTGGAATAAGTTCACTGCAAGCCCAAGATGTTTTGCTTCAAGCTGCATGCACATTGACATGCCCATATGGCATTTCTTCTGGCTCTGTCATCTCCTCCCTTGCAGCTGCTGTTTGCGCAAGGCTATGGATGCATGCCCTGTTCCAGCTGCAGCTGTGCCAACAAAAAGATGAGTGCCACAGCCTCCTCCCCACTCTGCTACTGGAAGTTACCAGCCCCTCTGAACTGCTGGCCAGGCTCGACATGTGACTTCCCATAACTTGTTTCACTCAAATAACTTGTTTCAGTCAAACATAACAGGGGCGATCTCCTTTAAATTCTTACCATTGTCTCTTCTCTTTTGGATGGATGTTGGATAGGGGCCACAGAGAGAAGGTGGTGAGTGCATGGGGATGAAAGGGTGTTGCTTCAGTGACCTGTTCAGCTGCTGCAGCCACAGCCAAGAGGGTGCATGTCCACAGCCTATGTGCAATTGCTAATTGAGTCCACTGCTGTCAAGAACCCTTATATCCTGGCAACAGAATTGTAAGGCCCAATGAATTCCTGCAGTCAAAATTAATGTAGACTGACGAACATGCTATTACTGGTTCATTTAGATTTCTAAAAATCAAATCAAGAAAAGCCATTAAATAAATGGCCTGTACTAAATTAAATTAAATTAAATTAAAGCAAGTCAGGATTCCATTTGGGATGGTGAAGCTGAACAGAACAGGAACAGAAATAAAAAGGGTTGCTGTAATGTGAGCGGTGGCTACCAGACAAACAGATGTGTTTATCTTTGAGGTATATTTTTAAAATTTGTGCTGTTTCATTTATACTTAAACCAAGTTAGCATCAGTCATATTTCTCTTGGTTTCCAGTGACAATTATTTTTGAACTGTGTGTATTGTTGGGAAATACAAAGAAGACTTAGTACAGACAGCTATACCAAGCCAATGACTAATTTTACTTCTGGATCCTTTCTGGATGACTTTTTGTGATGAGTTTCAATCAAACCGCAATTTATGCCTATGGTAGTCACGAGAACATTTTTTATTTCATGTACAGTTTCTTCCTACACTCCCCCTTAACATGTGAGACAGACTTCTTGGAAATTTAAACTTGGTGAAATGCATTGTATCAATAAATCCCAGCATTTGTAAGAAAGCTGTGCTAATCTGGAATTCAGAGCAAGGCATGAAGCAGAAAGTCAACAGGCTACTTGGCACACTACAGCTGGGGAAGAATAAGATTAAAATAAATACAGAAAGCTTCATTCCAAATGAAATATCTTTGCCAGGAAGGAGGCGAGGCTCAAAACACCAGGTTCTACAGAAGGAGAGGGTGAAGATTTGATCTCTCATGGGATCAGCAGAGAGAAGAGTGTCCCAGGAGTAAAGCTGTTTTCTGTCATTCTTTCTTCCTAACATAATCTTCAATGGGGGCAACTTGGCTGTTCTGGTGCAAAATATGGTACAAAGAAAACTTGAAATCAGTCAGTCATGTTATTGCCCTGAATTATCAAGATGGGTTAACATGGAGTGGAGCTGACAAATCAAAACACCGAGGCAGTCTTTGTTGTTGTTCAGACTGAGTCATAACTGCATGGTACAGTTTCCAGTAAGAAGTTATCTTTCAGACAGCTTACACATGGATTGCCATTCATCAAGGAATGTGGGGTTACTGTAAGCAAAGATAAACCGAAGGGCAATACACCGAAATAATTTATGATGTGGGCTTAGTGGGGAAAACAATGACTGCTGAAGGAGTCAGTCCTGATAAATTCAAAGAAGAAATGCATCAAAATGAATATTGGATGTAATTCCTGAGTCAAAGGCTATAATCTCCTTCCTGAAATTGATGTAAAAAATACTACCCATTTAGTTCCCATTCACCACCTAAAGCAGGGCTACCAGTGCTGTTTCCCAGCAGTCAAAAGTACACAGCACCTGGCTCAAGATACTGACAATTTTTGCCTATATTTGCAATTTTATCAAATGCCATTGCTAAAACAGGACAAAGATGTAGCTGAGCCACTGTGTCTGAACTCTGCCTTTTTATCAGTGGATGGCTGACATGGTGGGAGAAAAATTTGACACTGAGTGTTTCGGGTTTTGAACATTTATTTTACTCTAAGAACAGATCATAGTGCTGATTTCTTTTTTTCTACTGTATGACATTTTTAGTTTTGTCATGGACTTATTAAGTTAAATTTTCTTTATATGGGGAGATGTTTAAAATGAAGATAATTTAGAGTAAATGAAGCAGCCTCTTTGATCTCACTAGGAGCGACCAGGAAGAGACAGAATTCCCCATGACTTGCTCTGCAGAAGCCATCATGGGGAGATTAACTTTTCTAGATAAACAAATGCACAAAAATATCTATTAGATTGGTGGTGCCTCAGGGAACATCCCTCCTTTTCCATTCCTTATGGTGTCTATTTTGCACCTAATTTGCTTTAAATTTTGTCTGGTCCTGTTTTGAACTGAGAGGTTTGCTCTAGTTCCTCAGCGTGGCTCCTGTGGCAGCATGCTTCAGAAGTGCACTCTCTCCTCTGCAAAGTGACTTTTATCTCTTTAAAATTGAGTCCTGTTCTAGTAGTGGAGAATTTGGGTGAAAACCTTTTCCCTCACCTTCGCCACTTCCTAGATTGTTGTACAAACCTTACCCACGCTGCTCCCTCCTGGTGAGCCATCTCAGCCTGCTACACCTCATAGCCATCTCATCCCCTAAAATGACCTGCAAATATCCTCCTCCAATCCTTTAGGGGTTAAATGCATGAAGTAGAAAGTCCTTATGTAGTGTAAAGCAGAGGTTTTTGAGAAAAAAGGTTATGCTACATTAGCATCCAGGAGACCAATTGTTACCTAAGGCCTCTGTGTCTGGTTTGCAACACTGAGCTAGCTGAAAGTCACCATAAAAAAAACACTCACAGCCTGCCACAGCAGTGTACAAACACACACCTTGTTGCCCACTGGAAGATTTGAGGTATTTTGTTTTGGAAGAATTTAGATCTGGTGGTGAAATCAGACAGCTCAAGTCCACAATTCTTCATGGTATTACTGTTTCCCCTTTTTCAGGAAAAATGGGCACTCTACCCAGACAGCCTCCCTCTGCACAGCTAAGTAAACCATCATTGTCAGGAATGTGGGCACACTCCGGTTTGTGCCAGGCTGTGTGTGCGCTCCCTGCGAAAGCATTTCCTGCAGCAAAACAAGTAAGTGCCACAACGACAAATACTACAACAGTCAGTCAATTGACGGGCTCAAATGCTTCTTTGCCACCAAGAAGTGAATCTTTGCATGGAAAACACAGGGCCTGGGCAATTGCTTTTCCTGCATCTTATATCAGCCTTTATTTTTTCCCCCTGATCCAGATCTGACGTGAGTTGCTTCTTAAAATTCAGAGACCTGGGAGATTATTATGGCAACTCAGTGTAGTACAATGTTTAAATGTGTCCTCACTCACCCTCTATTGCATGACATGAATCAAACATACTGTTGGTTTGTCTTGGTAGAAGTATGGACCTATATGAAGAAGACAAACAGGATATGTGCTCTAATGGTTCTAACACTTTACAGAATAACAGCACCTCAAACAGAGATGGCTGTCTGGGAATAAAGCAGATATGTCAGGCCATGAACCATTGTCACTTACTTTGAATTCACACTGAAAAGTGTCACGAGGAACAAGGATATTTTGTCTCCTAAATATAACACATATAGTAATAGTACTTTTCCTAAGATAGTCTGGAAACTCAAGAAAAAGTGGGTTTTTCTCTTTTTTTCCTTCTAAACTAGCAGCAGTGGCTGTGTGGTCATTTGGTATTCTTCTGTGTAAAAAATACAGTACATTCCTTATTCCCAGCCACCTTGACCACTAGCTGTTGTGTTTCCTACATCAGAGGAGATGAAATCATTAGTACCACCAGTAATGATGCCTGCAGAAGCTCCTCTCTTTTGCCAGCTCATAGAAAGGGTCTGGATGAACTATGAAAAGGATCTACGACCCATTTAAACTCCTGGCTGTTTAAATTGGCTATTAGAGTTCTGCCGTCACTGTCATTTCTTGGCTTCCTGATGAAAGAACAGATGACTTTGCTGAGCTATCTTGGTTGAGGAAAAATGCATAAAAACAGAATTTTGAAAAAAATCATTGAGAGATAACTTTTAATTGAAACAAGTGGGGGAAATAAAATAGAAATTTAAAAAAAGAGGAAGAAAATGGTAAACCTTCAAGCATAATCCAGTGAAACAAATTTGTGGTCAGATTATGTCTTGTCACGTCGTCAAGGTATTCAACAGAGACCTGACTGTGTCAAAATATTACTCTAATAAAAGAGAGTGATAAGGTTTACATACATCATTTAATATGAATTAATGTTGAAAACTGGTTTTGCAACAAAGCTGTACACAAATAAAAAGGTTTTTTCATATTTTACTGACCTTTATCCACAGAAAATAAGGAAACCAGAAAACATAGAAAAACCCACCAATTTATAGATAGCACAAGAAACACCTAGCTCATTCTATTGTGCATTGCAAGAGTTGTTTACTTTAAAATGAGTAATGATGAGGCTGTTTTTGAAAAACAGCATTCAAGGCTGATATTTAACTCCTCCCCATGAGTGTCTGAAAGAGGCAATTCAGACTCTGGAACAAGAGAACTGGCTGAATTTCAAGAGGATGACTTCTTGGAGGTGGTCTACTGGAGGCTGTGGGCATGATTCTTCAGACAACCCTGAAAAGAGCTTCTGCATCCTTGTGAGGTAAAAAAAAAATACAGGAGACAAAGGATTAATTATTCTTTCACTTGCTGGTGTCAGAGAGAAGAGTGTCACAGACAACAAACCTCTACAAAGAAGAATGTATTATGCGACATACTATGATATTTTAATTAACCCTGACCTCAGACCTCCAGCTCAAAGAAGGATGAATGCATTTAGAAATAACTGACAAGACTTTTGCTGGGTATGTCTGCAAGGAAGCTGCTTGGCAGAGTGAGGTCCTGCCCGTGTCCAACAGACATGGAGAGGTTTGAAGGACGTGTTTGAAACAGACTGCAATATGGATTAGTTTCTGTTCCTGTTTTAATTAAGGTGCTTCTTCATTTCTGGGTCAGTTGGCACACAGGCTGTGACATCCCCAAGGAGATGCTCTGGAAGCTGATACCAGCACTATTGGTACAGTGCCTGTGTTTTGGAGCAGTGTCCTGGAAAGACTCAGAAAAAAGCGGGCAAAAAAAAGTGTTTTCTGAACTTGGTCTTCCCCCTTCTACATTCACCCACACATAAGAGGTTGGTGAAGGCTAGCTGTAATTTATCCAGAAACCAAGTGCTTTAACAGATGTAGTTCAAGATGTTAGTTACTATACAAACACATGGGTTGTTTGAAATTTTATTTTCCTTACACACATTCTGTAAAATAGAGTGTACAGTAACAATAGTTAATTGGATATTCTTATTAGCCTTACTCTTTTGTTGTTTCTGCAATACCCTGACTTCTGATATTAATGTGATTTCTTTAAAGGAACACACCACATAACTTCCACACTTCTGAAGCCTTGAGTGTTTTGAGGTCACATTGACTGAAATCTCAAAAATTATGAGATTGTATAATGTACAGCTTTATTTCTGTGGGTGTGTCTCCCATTCAGGGTCCAAAACACCACTCAAAATCTCATTTATAATGAAAAATGTGGGTTAAGGGTTTTTTAACTGGATGTTTTTTAAATTATGCTTATGAGCTGTATCTTGGGCACATTTTAAAACATCAAAGTGCATAAAAATACAGCTTGATTGCTCTTTTTTTCCCTTATATTTACCAATAGCATCTGACTGGGGAGTCTAGGAAAAAAGCACAAGTAATAATGAAGTGATACTGATGAGGACAAACACCACTAACAAAGAAAAACTAGAAAATACAGAAAACCTGATGCTGCACAGATGTCAGCCTATGCACAACTAATAATCTGACATGCAGGCACTCAGTCCTTTGTGGACTGCTTTTTCTTTTCCCAGTACAGAGAGAGTGAGTCACTCGGAATTATACAGCAAAGTGGTCATGTGCTCCTACCAATAATTTCCAAAGTACAGGAATGCAGGCAAAATTTGGTATGTGTGTATACTTACATAGTAAAAGCTGAAATATACCAAACCAGTGATGTTTCTAGAATATTTACTCTAATAATTGCTTTTTGATTTGCAGATGTTGTTGTGGGTTTTTTGTGAGATACCTACAGAGGTATGTGAGATAGTTTGCTGCCTTGACAGAAAGTTATAAATCCCAACAGATTACTGAAAGGAAGTGGTTCACAGTCTGCGCCTGGGTTGATAGTGATAAGTAGAACTTTATTGAATAGTAAAAGCTCATTACTACCCAAAGCTCAGTCAAAACAATTTCTTGACAGAAAATTGTTCTCCAGACAATGGGAAACTGTATTTGATGTAATCAGCACAAAAGCACATTGCCCTCCTTCTGGTAGCCATCAAAATGCTTTGTTTTCTTAACTTGAAAATAAACAAGCCTCAAGGAATTTGTGGTTTTATACATCTCACACAGTCTTTTGGGTGGGCTCTTTTTTCAAACCTGGATGAATTTACAAATATTTAAAAGTTGTGAAGTAACTTTCCACTCTGGTAAAGAAGAATGAAAATAAAATTCCTTTTTTTCAAAGACTTTAAACAGTCAATCCCCAGCCCATACTAAATACTTGGATGCAAACAGCTGCCATTGCTGCCTGGGAGGAACAAAGCACTTTACAAATAGATCTTAATTCAGAATGTGACAATGGAAATATAATTTCAAAGCCTACGTGGATTGTTTAAAGCCTTTATTTTCCCATCGTTAATCTGACTGAGATTATCTGATTGCTGCCTTGCAATTTTTAATCTGTAATTCAGTTTCACCATACAAGACTTATGTCTCTGGGGGGTGGGCCCAGCTCTCTTTTAAGGATGGGGGTTGTGTGACAAGGTGTTTGTGCTATTGTGCAGTGACAATTTTTCACTTTAATGCAGAGTTCTCAGAGTGGATTTTTCCCCTGAGAACAGAAAACAGCACCCCCTTCACTTGCCTTTTGCCACACATGAGTTACATGGAAGCCCAATTGATGCAGTACACATCATGAATTGTGATGCAGGCAGGCTGTAGATATACAAGATTATCCATGTACTAGAGGAGTGTTTTAAAATGACAGGGCTCTAAATTGCACTTTTGTGGAGACAACTGCATGAAACTTCTCATGCATATGGTGAGAAGTGTGCTGAAACCTACAGAAACATGCCTTGAAATGCATTATTATTGCCTGATTATTGCCATAAATACCTGATTATTGCCATAAATGCCTGATTTTTTGGGAAGTGTGCCTCAATGTCTTCATTAAGATTACAAAACCAAATATGGAGATACACTTCAGCCCAGTTTTAAGGGTTGTTCTTCCCCTTTGCAATGATTTTCTGAAGCTGTTTGGCAAAGGACTGTGGGTGGGTTCCAGAGTTCACCAGCTAAACACAGTGGAACTTCTCCAAATACAAGGAAATCCCACTGAAAAACAGCTGAAATTTTAAGATGTCAAAATTTGTATCTCCATCATTAGAAAAAAAAAAAAAAGTTAATCTCGGCCTGCCAACCTTGGGGACATGCTGTAAAGGTAGTCTGGGAGACTTTGATCTAAAGGTTGGACTTATATGCATGAGCAGTAGCATGGGGAAAGTGCCAGTGTAGGACTGTGAAGGAAGAGAAAAATCCAGGATTGAATACATGTGCTATCAGATTCTAGTGGGAACTGTGCACATTCATATTATGGTCTGGTTTGTTTCCACCCCTGGCTGTACCTTTGACTTCTTCTGTCACACTCAGACAAGTTGTTTCACATATGTGAGAGCTGGTATCCATACTGTAAATTGGCCACTATGCAGGAAATTAGCCCACAAAAGGCTCAGATCCCAACTTAATTAAAGGTTGCAGAGGAAATTTTGTTCCTCAGAGAAGAGGCTGGGGTTTATTATTCTGGTAATTATCATTTACTGCAGCTACTAGGGTCCATTTGCTTCCCATAATTTTATGCCAGTGTAAATCATGTAACATCCATGAAGCTTTTCTTCATTTAAAGAAGAAAATCAGCCTCTAAATGTCTGGACAAGATGCCACACTGAGAAGTGCCACTGAGGTACTTCTCAGCTTTTGAGGGGTGTTGTCAGCCTAGACCAATACTAATTTTTTTTCTACTCAGTTTGCACAAGCTCCTTGTGCCCTTTTAGAAAGGCATAAGAGAGATCTTGATAGCAATTGAGAGGAATAGCAAATATATGGGCCTCTCAATGAGCACTTACGGGAAACAGAGGACTTGTAACTGGGAAAAGTGACATTTTTCACTGTGCAGGAATGTGAGTAACAGAGGAGAAAGAGCCTCTGTATTTTACCTTCCTGCCAGGGCTAAACATCATGTCCCCTCAGTAAAGGATATCAAAGGCAGCTGAAGGATATCTTATTAGAACTCAATTGCCAAGGAAGGTGGGCAGGAGTGACCAGAGAAAGCTGTGGGTTTGGATTCCTGTGGAATAACAAACTCCTGACTTCCTGTGCTGCTCTTTCTCTTGGGGATGTGCTGGTAACCTGCCAACCCCAGTCTGGTAGTAACTTAAAGGAGGGCGGCCAAGTGAATAGCCCTGGTGGTATCAAAAATGATTAAAAGGTTAAAGAAACCCCATATGACTAACTGGAACCACAGGAGCTCAAGTAGACCTGGTACTCTAATAAGCAAACAGTGGCACGTTTACTTCTGTAATTGGATATAATCACCATGTGTGGACATTTTTCCTGTTTACTTCTTCAGTGTTCTTATCCCTAGCTGCTGGGGCATTCTTTCATCTACATCAATAAAAACATCATTTGCTTGAACTGTGTAAAATAAAATGAAATCCTATCCCAGACTAGGAAGTTTTTCTCCAGATCGTTTCCACCTTTCTTTGCACCTTTGATGTGTGACCCTTGCTACCCACCACCCTCCCTTTCAGCCAGCCCTCCCTGGAATAGCCTCCAAATGAAACGATGGTCCCCAGGACCAAAGAGGAGGCTGTGGTTTCCACGGATGGCTGCCCACTGCAGGCACTGCTTACTTGTGGTGTTTATTTCAGTCCCTCCTAGCTATGGTGCCTGGAGTTGGAAGGGTCAATCCGCAGTTTGGATTGGCATATTTTTAAGGTCCTTTCTATTATGAAATATTTATGAGAGGAAACAAGGTTGGACATTCCTGCAGCCAGTCCAGTGTAGGAACGCTATGTGCCTTCCTCCCCCAAACATGTAAATGCAGTCAGTTATTTAATGGAAGACTCACATACCTTGTTCCTTTACATTTCAAGTGAGCTGTCAGAGGAATGTAAACATTTATTTGGAGCAAGCCCTCAGGTAAAGGATTACCATATGCCACAGAAGGAAATTCCAGCATGCCCACCCAAATTTATGCTGTGGGGAGAGCTATGAATAGAAAGTTTGTACACTGTTATGAATATGGATAAAATACATCACTCACGGCCCGGCCATGAAAAATTGAAAAACACATATTTTGGATCACACAATATTTTCAAAAATCTATTTAAAAGAAAATAAACATGGGATCTTGTGTGTTCGTTTACTGTTTGAAGTACCTTCGG